TTTGACTTCTGGTCACAGCGGAGCGGCTACATCAGCCTGAACCCCCCACTCCTACAGATGACAACTACAAACAACCACCCGCAGGCTGGGCAGACAGTGGTGGGGAGTCAGCAATCAGACGGGAACAGTTACCTATATTTATGGGATTTTGATTGAAGGCAGGCTTCAGTCCCCGCCAAATGGGGTGGCTAACGTCCAGAGAGAACTCACTGCCTTACTGACTTATAAACACTCGAGGACAGCTGGAAGCAAACGATAGCAGGTGGAAAGTGAAAATGGGAATCCTGGAAAGAAGAGAGTCAGAGGGACGAGTCCCGCTTCTGGACGTGAATCCTACCCAAATCTTGTTGTTGTTAGGTGTTGTCGAGTACAACTCATAGATCTGAACCCTGACCTATCCGGTGCTGTCCTCACAATCTCCAACACACTGGAGCCCACTGCTGCAGTCACTGTGTCAGTCCATCTGGTTGAAGGTCTTCCTCTCTTTAGTCAACCCTCCACATTCCCAAGCATGAGATCCTTCTCCAAGAATAGCCTCTGCTAGCAACAGCCCAAACTATGTGAGATGAAGGTTTATTATCTTTGTCTCCAAGGAGCACTCTAGCTGCGCCCTCTCTAAGACAGCTGCTTGTTCTTTCTGTCATCGTAGTATATTCAGGACTCTTCTGTCCTGGGCTGGACGGTGAGGGCTACAGAACATCCCAATCACCACCGAAGGTTCTGCTAGAGAGTGCTGGTTCTGAGTGCAAACCCACCTGGACCAATCTCCACCTGGAGTGGAGCGAGGTGACAGAAGAAGAATCGACGCCTTCTAACTCTGGCATTGGAGAAGAGGAATGAACATCTAGGCTTATTGAAATATACATGCACTAGGCGGACTCCAAGCAGCTCAATAAAGACTTAAAGAACTGGACAGAAATTGCTGGACCTGCCACCCCAGGGAGAGAGAGTATGGAATTTGAGTTCATCCAAGGTAACTGTCTACTTAAAAAAAAACCCAAAAAACAAACCAAACCAAATACACAAAATAACCAAATCCCTGCACAATTTAGAGCAACATAACAAAATTCAGTTTCTGTAAGATGTCATTCATGACATCCAAGTCACAGTTCAAAATTGTTGGGCAGACACAAAAAATAGGGCAATGTGGCCTACACACAGTGAGAAAAGCTAATCTCCACCAGCCTATGTTTTTGTTAACAGCCCAGTATGGTAGTGAATACCCCAGCAGAGCACCTCCAGTGTCCACGTTGTTGTTGTTGTTGTTGTTGTTGTTGTTGTGTACCATCAAGTCAGAGCCGACTCATAGCTGGTCCTCCAGTGGGGTCTCAGTGGCAGTTAATCACACAGGAGGAGACTGCTCACCTTTCTCTCCTGGAGCACCTGGTAGAAGTGAACTGCCCACCTTTGCCTTTGTAGGGCAGTTCCTTACCACCAAATAATTTAGCTACCCCACTCAAAGAATAGAAATGCTTTTAAAAATATTATTTGCTCCACTAAACTGTTTATTAATCTTAGCAGAATTTCTGTCTTCTGAGTTTTCCAGCTTTCACACGTTGTCTCCTCCTTTGAGAAAGAGCCCTGTTTTGCTTTATGGGAAGCTAGCATACGGAGCTACACTGACACTAAAAAGTAGTGATGAAATAATTTTTCAAAGTTTCCTATAAATAACAGCTTAAGCTATTTCTGCTACCACAGAAAGTCTAAGAAGGAAAAAATGGCCAAATGATAAAACTGTTAAAGGGTTATAATTCTGGGGGGAGGGAGGGGAGGAGGCAATTCATAGAAACAAATTTAAAATAGCTCTTATAACTAACCTCAAGGACAGAAAAGAAAATCAAGTTATAATGAATGGGTTAATAGGACAGCTCAGTAGGGAAACTTTTTAAAAAGAAACAAATTAAAACTCTAGAACAGAAAAATACATGACTTGGGAAAAAATTAACTAGATAGGCCTAACATCAGATTGAGGAGAACAAGAAAAGCTGTTGAATGTGAACATAGGTCAATTAAAACAGAAGAGAGATGCGTGGGCTTTATGACATTTCTAAAGGTCTAACCTGTGCAGGCATACACCCCAGAGATGCTGTGGGTTCAGCTCCACACCACCGCAATAAATTGTACAGTAAAAGCAAGCAAGTCACATGAATTTTTGATGTCTCAGTGCATATAAGAGTTATGCTTACATTCTCCTGGAGTCTATTAAGCACGTACTGATGTTGGGTACTGTAGAGTCAGAACCGACTCTTCGTTGAGCCTCCAAGCTGGTTTTCAGAGGCAGTAAATCACATGGAACTTGAGTGCCCACCGTGGACTCAAACTGCGTGCCTTTGTGATGGCCGCACAATTCCTTACCACTAAGCCACCAGAGCTCCCCAAATACGCATTATGAGCCTCACGGAAAAAGTCTGAACTATTGTGAAAATGATCGAAATGCGACACAGATGTAAGGCAAGCACGTGCTGTTGAAAATCTGGCGACAAGTGATACACACTCAAGGAACGTTAAACAAACCTCCAGTTTGTTAGAGAACCTCAGAGAGCAACAAAGTGAAGTGCCATACATGTAAGAGTGGCTGTATGCAAATGTATGCAAATGAACTGCCTGGGAGGGAGTGGGGGGAGGGAGAGACAGAGAGAGAGAGCGCGCGAGAGAGAGTGAGCGAGCTTTTGACAAAATCATGGCTGGGAATTCCCAAAGCTGAAGCTGCATTTACTGGTTCAAGAGGCTCGAGATGTGCCTCGTGCAGAAAAAATACAAACAGTAATGGCCATCTGGTGGCCTGGCTGCAGTTGCTCGGCTAACACAAAGATTACCCGTCTCTGACGGTCGGAACCCACCAGCATCTCCACAGAAGAAAGACGGGCCACCTCCTCTCATGTGATGCGCAGCCTTGGAGAGCTGTAGAAGGCCAGCCTGGGGTTAGTTCCTACTCAAAGGCCATGAGTCCGAGTTGAAACAACTTCTAAGAGGAGTGAGTATTAGGCTCACAAACTGTGGAAGGGCAAGGCCCACTTCTGTGTAGGTTACAAGCACATTTTCTGACACATTCGTAACACTATTCTATTGTCGTTGTGTGCCGTCAGTCAGAACTGACCTGCAGCTGACCCTGCAGAGGGTCTTCAAGGGCAGTGAATCGCACAGGAGGAGACCACTTTGTCCCATGGAACAGCTGATGGATTCGAACCACATGCTTTTGGGATTGCAGCACAGCTTCTTATCACTAGGCCACCAGAACTCTCTTACAAATCCTGTAGTTTGCCTATAAAAGACACAGAGAGGACTAAGGCTATAAAATGCTTTCACACTTAGGTATCTTCCTAACAGTTCATACTAGAGAGTGTGAAACCAGGCTGCTCCTTGGAGACAAGGATTCTGAAGCTTCGTCTGACATGCTTTGGACATGTTGCAAGGAGGGATCAATCCTCAGAGAGGGACATCATGCTTGGGAGGGTGGAGGGACAGTACAAGAGAGGAAGACCCTCGATGAGATAGACTGATACAGTGACTGCGGTAATTGGGGGTAGGTGTGTCAGAGACAGTGAGATTGGCACAGGATAGAGCAGGGTTTAGGGCTGTTGTAAACAGGGTCGCTGTGAGTCGCGGGTGACTTGACAGCACATAACAACAACATATTTCATGTATATTTTCCTAACTTACATTCATGGTAACTTTCTAAGGAACCAGGAATGTCTGTCTACAGTTTGTTTGACTAATTATTTTTTATGACTTTAAAAACTGAAAGCTGCTCAGAGATGTTGAGTAACCCAAGTAGGAGCCTTTAGGAAGTGGTAGAACCAGGATCGGAAGGCCAACTTGAAAGCCCCTTCTCTTTTACGTCAATGTTGGTAAACTCTGGACTCTCATGGAAGAGGGCTTTCAAAAACTATCCCCCTCCCCACACTAATTAAATCCGTATCTCAGGGGGTTTTGGTTCAGGCGTTGACGTTTTTTAATCTTTCCCCACCAGGTGATACCGGAGTGGGGTGAGGTGTGAGAACCGCTGTTGTACAGCAAGCTGCAGATTGAAAAACACAGACAAGAGGAGAAGTAGAAAAACTCATTGTCATCCAGTCAGAAGTGACTTACAGCGGATCCTCCGCTGGGTTTCCAAAGCTGTAAATTGCACGAGAGGAGTTTGCCATCTCTCTCCTGCGGATTCACTGATGGATTCAGAACGCCAGAATATCGCAGCCTTTAGGTGAGAAGTGCAACTCCCTGTAGAGCAGGCGACCAGAGCTCCAGAGGGTGGGCTTAACGCCCTTCACACCAAGGGAGGGCAGTTAAGTAGAGGGGGCCCTCAGAACAAAGCCTGACCTGTCAGTCCATGCTCCCTTCCAAGCCCTGGCCCCTAAGTCTGTAATCCTCCAGTCCTCTTCCTTGTCCCAGAGTTTTGTATAGTGTCCCCTCCATTAGTTCCAAAAGATATGGGGGTGATAAAAGCGTCAATGGCACTGCTCTGAACAGGGTCTGAGTTATAAGCGGCCGCAGTGGCAGATGCAGGCCACTTACTCTGGGTGAGGTATGAGTGTACAACCTTAGAGCCCTAACTCTTTCAGGCTAAGCTGGGGGAGAGGAAAAGAGTCAGACAGCCCCCATAACTCTTCTTAGAGCCCCTTGGGGTGGACCCAAAATCCTAGGAGAGAGAGCCTGTGCTGAACAAGGCAAACACGGGGCAATGGTCCCCCTGGGCCCAGTCTTGCTACAGTGCCTCCCCTCAGCAATCACTCACAGTCCTGACTCCCAGTCTCAGCCTGGCCCCGGGATGCGGCTCCCACCCCCCACCCTTCCACCTACTCAGACACCATGCAGGCCGTAAACCCTGAGCAGCTTGTTCTCTGTCCCCAAAGCCCAGCACAAAGGGTAGACACTCCACGGAGAGTCTCTTAGCTTGTATGGATGGACGTGGCTGGCCCCACTGCTGTCTATGGTGGAGTGGTGGGTGGCTCAGCTTTGCCACTGGGCACCAGAGAGTGAAACCATCTAAGACCTCCCCTCACAGTCACAGTGGTGGTGATAATAATCAGGTGGTGGTGATGATGATGATGATGATGATGGGGATGTGGACGGTAACAATGTGATGATCATGATGATGGCGATGGTGGTGGTGATGACGATGTTGTAGATGACAGTGATGTTGATGATGGTGGTGGTGATGATGGCAATGGTGACGGTGGTGGTGATGATGATGGTCATAATGGTGGTGATGATGGCGGTGGTGGTGATGATGATGGCAGTGGTGATGGTGATGGTGGTGATGATGATGATGGTCATAATGGTGATGATGGTGGACTGATGATGATGGTGGTGATGAGGATTATAAGGGATGGTGATTGCAATAATGGTGATGATGATGGTAATGGTTGTGGTGATGGTGGTGGTGATGATGGTGGAGATGAGGATTATAAATCTTGGTGATGGTAATAATAGTGATGATAATGGTGATGATGATGGTGATGATGGTCATAATTATGGTGCTGTTGATGGTGGTGAGGAGGATTATAAGGGTTGGTAATTTTAATAATGGTGATGATGATGATGGTGGTGATGTTGGTGGTAATGGTTGTGGTGATGATGATGGTGGTGATGAAGATTATAAATCTTGGTGATGGTAAAATAGTGATGATGATGGTGGTGATGGTCATAATGATGGTGCTGTTGATGGTGGAGATGAGGATTATAAATCTTGGTGATGGTAATAACAGTAATGATAATGGTGATGATGGTCATAATGGTTATAATGATGGTGATATTGATGGTGGCGATGATGATGGTGTGATAATGATGGTGTTAATGATAGCGGTGGTGATGATGATGGTCATGATGATGGTCATGATGATGATGATGATGATGATGATTATGGTGATGGTGGTGATACTGATGGTGATGATGATGGAGATAGTGATGATGACTGTGGTGGTGATGATGGTGGTGATAGTGCTGGTGACGATGATGGTGGTGATGAAGATCATGGTGATGATGACGGTGGTGATGGTGATGGTGGTGGTGATGATGATGGTGTGATAATGATGGTGTTGATGATAGTGGTGGTGATGATGATGGTCATGATGGTGGTCATGATGATGATGATGATGATGATTATGGTGATGGTGGTGGTAATGATGGTGATACTGATGGTGATGATGGTGGTGATAATGATGGAGATAGTGATGATGACTGTGGTGGTGATGATGGTGGTGGTGAAGATCATGGTGATGATGACGGTGGTGATGGTGGTGAGGATTACAAGGGTTGGACTGTGATAATGGTGATGGTGATGATGGTAATGGTCGTGGTGATGATGATGGTGATACTGATGATGGTGGCGATGATGATGGTAGTGGTGATGGTGAAGATGTTGATGGTGATAAAGCAATTATCTCCTCTGAGCAACGACTATGTGTTAGACACTTAACCCAACGAACTAAAACCCAACCGGTTGGCATCTAATTGGTTCTCACTTTGTTCCTGCAGGACCCACAGGTTGTCCAAGGATATAAATATTTATGAACACACACTGCCTCATCTTTCTCCTGCAGAGCAGCTGGTGGGTTCAAACCACTGACTTTTCCAACAGCAGCCAAGTACCTTACCCGCCGTGCTCCCAGGGCCTCCTCAGGCACTAGCCGGACCACCCATCAGGGCTGCACCTGTGTGGATGGAGCCTGTGCTGCCGTATGCTGGAATCAAAGCCACCAGTATTATAAATGCCAGCAGGGTCACTCCTGACAGGCAGGTTTCCACCACGGTGGACAGACTCCAAAGAATGTCCTGATGACTTACTGTCTAATTAGCCAGGGAATCTCTATGGCTCACCAATCTTGTGCCGGCAGGTGAACGCTCTAGCTCAGAAAGCTCTCAAAAAACCAGAGTGGTCACGATGGACGTGGACATTCGCAGCAATCGTGAGGATGGTGCAGGACGAGTAATGCTCTGCGCTGTTGCACACGGCGTCACCATGAGTTGGTCCCGAGGTGGTAACTAACAACACTATGTACCTGACATACAGTAACTCGCTGTGTCCCTGGAACCACCCTACAAAGTGCTGCTTCACCTCCACTTTGCAGGAAGAGGCAGCTCTGGTGTCCAGTGGGGAGGGAGTCACACTGTTCACCCAAAGACGGTGTGTCTCTGGCAATTCAACTCCACCAGCAGATCCTGGGAAGAAAGAGAGGCAAGTTGCCTCTGTTCAAATTAGAGCCTCAGGAAAGATGCCGGCCGGTCAGCTATGAGCTGGTTCTGACTCGATGGCAATGGCGTTCTGCACAGATGAAGAGACCGAGGGTCAGAGAGGGAATGCTCCCCGTTCTTGGCAGAAATGGGATCAAAGCCATGTCCGCTCTCTCGCTGGAGCTCTTGAGAACTGTCCTACCCTCTTGACTCGGGCTTTCCTCTCATCTTCACAGGAAGGAATCAAATTCAGCCCTAAGTGATGCCTTGGCCAGGCTGGACTCATGGCTTGGGGAAAGGTGCCAACCTCATCCTCGCTGTGTCCCTTTGGGGTTCCCACTCCTGACAGTTCTCTCAGTTCTCAGCAACTCACAGTCTGGGACCTCCGGTGGGTATCTGGAGCACTGGCATGGTCTCTGGAGGCCTCAAAGGCTCAGGGGGTAACTCTCCATCCTAGTCCATCTTGAGACTATTGATCTAGGTCCCAGGGGGCATGTAAGAGCCCAGTGGGCAGCCGCTCCAGGCGTGCCCAGCCGCCTCTGTCTGATGACCGCGGAAAGCCATTACAGCCCACTTAGCTGTAAACAGCTCTCCACAGCACTCACTGGTCCATGAGGGGCTCGGAGAGCTCTCTGCTCCCTGAGTGAGGGGGTGCAAGCGCCAAGTGGGGGCTGCGCCTCCTTACTGGAAGTGCTGCCTCTCGTCTGGCTCAGCTTCCAGGAAAGGGGGCCAGCTGGGGCCTGGCCAGCCCTGCCCATTTCTGCCCACTCTGCTACCAGGGGCCTCGTCCCCAGGCTGATCCTTCCTCATGGTGCCGTCACCCAGCACCTGGGGGTCCAGGACCCGAGGCCGGGAAGAACCTTAGCTGCCACTTGGAAAGCACAGACTGAGCTTTCTGAGTTCAAAGTTGATCTGACGTCAGACAAGAGGCAGTAAGTACCAGCACAGGACTGACACGGGGATAAGGTGTGACATCGGATGTGTCGCTGGCTGCGGCTGAGGGCTTTCCAGAAGCACCGAGTCTCCCACTGATCCCCTCGAACCCACTGATCCCCTCAAAAGGATTGATTCTTCAGCGTGATCCGCGGGCACGGAAGCCCCAGGGCAAAGTTCTGTCCTTCATTTCCTCACCTATTACACACACACACACACACACACACACCCTGCACCCACTGTACCCCAGCCACTGGGCTGAGTCCCAGGGATTCACAGGGGACAGGCTGACACGCCCTGCCCAGGAAGCTGCGCTTAGTGGGGTGTAGAGGGACTGGAATTGACAGTCCCCACCTTCAGAGCTCTGCTGGGCCATTCAACAAGGGACAGACATCTCTTGGGGACCAAGGTGTCTATCACTATTAACGGTGGCAGGAAGAGCCCTCCCCGGGGCACCTGGGGGATGGGGAGGAGGCTGGTGTGTGGACTTGGAGCCAGTCTGCTGGGGTGTCAATCTGGTTTCTTCAATGTTGTTTTTGTTGTTGCTGTTGGGTCAAATCAGAACTGACTCCTAGCTGACCCTCCACTGGGTTTTCAGAAGCAGTAAATCGCACCAAAGATTGCCTATCTTTTCCCTATGGAGTAGCTAGTGGAGTCAAACTAAGCACCTTTGTGTTGACAGTGCCATCCCTTATCATAAGACACCAGAGCTCCCTGGGCCTCTCCCCCAGGAGTCTTAAAAGACTTGGTCTTCTTATAAGACGTAAGTTGGTGAATGCCACTGAGATAACCCTGACTCCCAGCAGCCCTATGGGGCACAGGAGAGCTGCCTCTTAGGGCTTCCAAGGTGCTGGTGGTGTGGTGCCTGGGGAGCTGAGCTGCGAACCCAATGGTGAGGCCGCTGGTAGTTCAGATCCACGAGAGGCTCCACAGGAGAAAGACGGGCAATCTCCTCCACCTGACGCACAGCCTTGGAAACTCAACGGGGAGTCAGCCAAGAGTCAGTTCCAACTCGAGGGCAACGAGTCAGTGAATCGTTACAGAAGCAGACTGCATAGCTTTTGCCTAGGGAGCGGCCGGTGGATTCAAACCGCTGATCTCTGGGTTAACATCCCAGTGCTTAATGCATGGTGCCATCAGGGCTCCCCCACCTGTGTAGGGCGGGTCCTAAATGTCCTCACTTCCGAGTTAGAAAAAAACAGAAAAGACACAGACAAGCACGGACAGAGGAAGAGACGCCGGGTGACGACGTCAAGGGACAAGGCTGTAGGAACTGAGGGAGGTCAGGACCTCCTTCCGCAGAACCACAGCCACCCAGCCTCCAGGCACCGTGACTACGGCCTTCTGGGACCAGAGAAGAAACATGCACCTGCTGGAAGTGCATCTGTTAGAGCAGCACTGGGACACCTAGACAGACAGGTGGAGACTACGTCCCGGATACCTGGGGAGCTCCTGGCCTCCCTGAGGGATGGCACGGTGGCCCGCTCACTCCGGCTCAGCACAGGCCCTGCTGGCCTGGAGCCTCAGGTCTCATCCTGGTCCCCCCCCCGCCCCCCAGGCCTGACCTGGAGCTCAGTGAGCTGTGGGCGGAGACAGTGCCCTTCTTCATAGTGAGTATGGGACTGGGCCGGTGCCCTGGCCCGTGCCCCTAGGTGCTGGTTCACAGGATGGAGTGTGGGCAGGGGGCAGGTGTGTGCGGCGACACGGGCCGAGGGCTGAGTGTTGTGCGTCCTTTTTCACGCTGGCAACAGCTGGTGCTGAGTCTCAGAGCCCATGGCTGTGACAATTATCAAAATGTTTACTATGTGTCACTATTAATAATGCAGGACCCACCAGCTTCCTCGTCAGAAAACCGCAGCGAGTCACGGAAAGGCCTGGCACTGGGAAGGGCTGTCACGATCGGCCAGCACCTGGGCCTGCCCTCTGGTCCACCCAACATGAGATCTTGTCCCAGCTAAGCCCACTCTGCTAGCCCTTACTGTCTTCTCTCACTCACTCAGGTCCCTATCCCAGACAGAGGCCACCCCTCCTCCTTAGAGTTTCTAGAGTCACTCACTCAGAAGGCATTCCAGAAGATTCCACACCTCCCCCCC